GTAAAAATCGTCATAATCTGATTTTGGTACATCTACCTACTTGTGATTTAATTTTGGTATCACTTACTCTTGCATCTGCTTAAATAAATTGTGATATTATTGTGTTTGTCCCCACCAGAATCTCTCGCAGCTTGCATCAATCAATTACGATTTGCTTACTAAAGGGTTGAAGGAAGATCAGCCGACAAATCCTAATCCATGACTATGGAACCATCTTCCGATCAAGAATCTGAATTTTGAGTTTTGGGGCCAACAGCTTGAAGCAAGAAGGGGAACCAATCCCCTCCCTCTCTGTAAACCTTGTAAATGTACGAGTTTCGTTTACAGAATGATATGCATTTTTTTTTTTTTTGTAAATAAATACCTTTAAACGATTGAAATCATGTGTTTTGTGTTACCCTTGCAGATATAGTTCAGTGCGCAATACATACTGGGATGTGTTTTGTTGCAGAGTTGAGGTCCATGGTGTGAGGGTTGGGAACATTGTTGGTTGATGAGTTGTTTTGTTTGTGAGTTGAGTTGAGGTTTTGTGTAATTTTTATCTCATGGTATTGGTATGGTCCTTGAGGGAGGAGGATGAGGAGCAGGAGGAGGAGGGCATATTATTGTCTTTTTTCTCTTTGGCCTTTGATTTTCAATGCAATGTGAACACATCCCCTCTTGTCGTTAAGGAATTGGATGGATATTCTTCTTCTTTCTTGCAATCTTGCTTCACCCCATACCATTTCTCACCTCACCTCACCTCCCAAAAGTTATTTAAAATAAACAAATAAAAAGCAAGATTTTTTTAAAAAAAAAAAAAAAACAAAATTTATTATTTTTTTGAGGGTGTGTTGGAAACCAAGAAAATGATTTTTGAAAAATGAGCCATTTTTTTATAAAATGGTTTTATTTTTAATATTTGGTTGCATTCTAAAAAATATCTTGGTGTGTTTAGTTCATTTTTTTAAAAATAAATAGAATTGTATAATTAAACATTTTAATTTTTTTTTTAAACTGTGCATTTATTTCATCAGAAAAATCAAACGTCTACAAGTATACGCCATGACCCCGAAAGTGGGCTACGGCTCAAACAAGTCTAGGCCTTTTCGGCCAACTCAAAAAACATATATACAATGGGGTGGCCCGAAAGTGACCACCCCACATAAAGGAGAAGGAGCTCCCAGTTCATCAAACTAATGCAAATCAAAACTCAAAAGGTCCAAAGGCTAACTCATCAAAGGGATCACCGGGTAAAATCTAGCCTTAAATACTCCAAACCTCTCCAAACATTCCCTTTCTCAGTCTAAAATAGGCTCCCCGTCTCACACAAGTGATGGGAACGATGCCTAAGCTCTAGGATCCAAACTACAAAAACTCGCTATCCTTAAGTCAAAGACCCATTCCCACCGGCACGGCGTATCGTGTTTTAACCCGGGAGAACTTTGCAGGTCCCGGCTTAAGCGATAGCTCTCACCTCGTCCACCCTCATGCCCAAAACCAACCCCCCTCGGCATAGCGTACTATGTTTTGCCCGGGGGGGACTTTTGAGGTCCCGACATGAGCAATGGATCCCTCCCCACCACCCTTAGGCCCAAGGTTAACTCCCACGGCACGGCGTACCGTGTTTTAATCCGGGGAGTCTTTATGACCCCGACCTAAGCAATGGTTCCCCCAACTCTCCCCATTCCCTTTCTGTTCTTCTTTTTTCCAAGATAACCCCTTATCACTCCCTCATCCACCCTCTCATTTCCTTTTTTCATTTTTCATTCACTTCTTTTTTTCATTTCCAATTACCAAATCCTAAGGATCCACCAAGCTAAAGACACTCCCATCTCCAGGTGTGTGCTATACTTGGAGCCTACCAAGACTCCCCATTCCAAACACATTTCAGAATGAGCCCTTAAGGCATAGAGCCTACCCAAGAATCCCTTCTAGAGTGACTTTTTTGCCCATCAAGCTAAGCTAGATAGCAACTACACATCGAGCCGGGAGCTCTTTAAACTAGTGCAAAAAATCTTCATCTTCATATTTAGCTCTCCCCCTACCTGCAAAACCATATAAGTGGTTTCATCTCCACACAAGTGTAGATCCACCAAACAATATCTGCACAATATAAACTGCCAGTCCCCTCAACAAGCTAATGCCCTCAGAAACTGCCCAGCTAGCAGTCCATCATTGGGCCAAAGAGGGAATGAATCTCGGCTAGCTAGCTTCATAGATCCAATCCCCCATATGCACTTAAGACTAGCAGGGCCAATCTTAGCTATCAGCTTCATTGGTTGGCCCCCTAGGTCTGTATTCCCTCAAGACTGCCCAGACCACAGTCTATCATTGGGTAAAGGGTTAGATAGGCAGAAACTGCCTCAGCTACATATAACTTCACTGGCCAACTCCCCCATCTTATCTGCTTCTCCATACAGAGGATGTTCTCAGCCAATAGCTTCATTGACCACCTCCCAGCCTGCACATCCCTCTAGACTGCCTTAGGCTATTTAGAATATAAAAATATTCATAATAATATTAGAAATAATGTTATTATTTATTAAAAGTTAATGTTTTTTTTTTTAAAAAAAAAAAACTTTGGTTTATGCTGCGGAAACTAGACCTATGGTTTTCGCGAGAGACTAAGGTTGGAAATGATGTGGTCATTTTTTGTTTGTGAAAAATAACTTTTGCTAAATTTTAGTAGAAATTATTTTTCCTAAAATAGTCATACTATTTTCAAGACAACGTAAAATAATTTCTATTGACATAATTTTTCAAGTACATCTAAACACTAAAAACTTGAAAAGTGATTTTTTAGAAAATATTTTCAAATTTTCAAACATACCGGAATTATTTAGTAATTCCTAATGAAGATCATGGCCCACCATACACCTAAGGAGCAAAGGAATTATAGGTTTTTTCTGAAAAATTATAGGAAAGTACTTTAATTTTACAATTTTTCATTCTTTAATTTTTTATTGTTAAATTGAAAAAAAAATGTAGAAGTAAAATTATTTTTATTTTTCTTTCTAAAAAATGAAATTTTTCTCTAGTAAACACACCAAACTTTGGGTGTTTTTTTTTTTTTTTTTTTTTTTTTTTTTTTTTTTTTTTTTTTTGAATCAGAGTTGAGGGGGCCCAACCTGCCCTTGCCCCAGGGCCGGCCCTGCATCCAGCAATTCATATGATTTTTATTCTCGGTTTTTCAGATCGAAGCGTGGTCAATGTCTTGAGCTAAGTGATCAATGAAATGACTGCCATGTTTACAAATTATAACACGTCAACAACTAAACACTTCCACGTCAGCAAGTTATGACCTATTACTTGAAAGCAACCTATAAAAAAGTTTAGGCGAACAATTTTTTTTAGTTTGTGCATCGAATCAGCACTTATGAAAGATCATGGTGCGGCATGACATATCGCAATTGGTTTATGGTGCGATTTGACGCCTTTTTTAGATTGTTTGTGTGAAGTATTCAGTCTAAGGGTGTGTTTGGAAACTTGGAAAATGAGTTCTGGAAATCATTTTTCAAGTTTTCATTGTTTGGATGTGCCTGGAAAATTAAGTCAACGGAAATCATTTTCCGACTTTGGAAAATAGGCTTGTTTTGGAGGAAAATGACTTTCCCTTTTTTTAGGGGAAGTCATTTTCCAACTTTTACACCAACATCACACCACCACCAACATCATCAACACCATACCACCACCACCTCACTACCACCATCACCACCACTACTGCCGCCGCCACACCCACTATACCACCGCAACCACCGCCACCACACTACCACCAACACCATACCACTGCAACCACTACCACCACCAACACCATCAACACTATACCACCACCACCACCACCACCGCAGGCACCACTACCACCACCATACCACCGCAACCATCATCGCTGCCGCCACCACCACCATACCACCGCCACCACACCACCACCATCACTCCACCACCACTGCCGCCGCCACCACCACCATACCACCGCAACCACCGTCGTCGTCGCCACCACCACCATACCACCGTCATCGCCACCACCACCACCGCAACCACCGCCACCACCACGACCATACTACCACCGCCGCCACCACCACCATACCACCGCAACCACCGTCGCCGCCACAACCACTGCCACCACACCACCACCACCACTGCCACCACCGTCATACCACCACCACCACCATACCACCGCCACCACACCACTGCTACCACCGTCATACCACCACCAATTATTATTATTATTATTATTATTATTATTATTATTATTATTATTATTATTATTATATAACAAATAACACCACTACCACTACACCACCGCCACCACCATAATATTTTTGATATATTATTAGTTATTTTTTTATTATATTTAAAATTATTATTATATTATTATATTATTATATATTATTATACATGTTGTAATATTCTAAATAAAATAATTAAAATGTTTAATTATACAATTCTACTCATTTTTCAGAAAATGAACCAAACACACAAAAACAGTTTTCCAGAATGCAACCAGGAAAAGAAAATGTTTTCCGGAAAATGGCTCATTTTCCAGAAGTCATTTTCCTTCTTTCCAAACAGACCCTAAAGTGAGTTAGTGTAAAGTTAGTTAATGGTTGAGAAGATATATTCCAAAATCTTATTAGTTCGTGAGACATTTGTAGACTTTGAGATCTACCTATTGAGTCACCGTGATTCACATCCTCCCACATGCTCTGTCGGGTCGGAGTGTGGAAGGTCCTTAAGGTTGAGAATTCAGCCTTTTGAGATAAGACTTTGAGATCTCAAAATTAAAAAATCTGCAATATAAGATTTTTAATTCTTCATGCACTCATTTTGAAAAACAAATAGCGATTGCATCAATACAATAGTAATAATTAATTATTATAATCCTATAAAAAAACATATATAAATTCATAGTGAGAGAAGAAATAACTTTTTTCCCTATTCTTTGAAGTTTGAATGATATAACAACTTAAATGCAAAATGTACCATGTATCATGTATGTGCTTAGAAAAATCAAATCCAAATTGTGAAAGAATGGTCAATGGTTCATTGTAATGAATAAAAGAATAATCAAGTAACAAAAGTTTGTACAACTTCTCCCCCAACCCTAATTCTCTCTACACATACACATGAACTGCAATTCCTAAAGGCAGATATTTTTCTTCTCTTTCTACTCCATTATCTTCATCTTTTAACCATCCACACAAATTTTTTTTCGACTGATTCAAACCAAGAAAACCATTTTGGATAGTTGACTCACTATCCAAACCGATTTTCATCTTTAACTATCCAACAATTAGCTTCCTCTATAGTTTTTTTTAGTGCACCCAGGGTTTCAACCGTCAGACACAGACTATTCAGCTTCCTCTATAATTGTTTATGCTATAATAATCCCCATTCTTGGCTCCTCTTGAATAACCCCATCGACGAGAAGTGTCTCGCAGTTCTTCCTTTCTACAAACCCAATGGTGATTTCGATCATCAGTAAGGCATTCCATGGCCGCTCTTCTACCTTCTGTTCTTCGGTCGCCACCACTTCTATGCAGTAAACTGTCCCTAAAGATTTGTCTTCCTTGTTTTGCATACTCTGATGAGAAACAATATTGTCTATTCTAGGCTCCTCACTTGTTACCATTTCTTCTTCACTAGTCTGCACGCCCCGAGACAAGCTCTCGACTATTATTTGTTCCTCGATTGCCAATGTTTCCTCGGTTTCCATGGCGTTTCCCTGGTGTTTTTCACCTTCTTGTCGAAGGGTGAGCTGGGAAACGAAAACATCTAGAGCCTCCTTCATCCACGGATGAAAGCATCGTTCCATTGCTTCCTCATATGACACCTGCAATTTAGTTAACAACATCAGATCAGGAGCTGTTCTTGCACTGGATAAAATGATTTGCAATCGAAATAGGTATCCAGTAACCGAACATACCCATAATCGAAGGCGGACATCTCTCTCAGGCCAATCGTCGAGCTCCTCAGTGACAAACAATGGCAGCATGAACCCCTCATGAAATGCATCTATGCTTTTGCTCTTAAAGTACCATGTTCCTAAACAACTCTGCAACCAAAAACATAAACCCTAACATGAGACAACATTATATTGTACACATCCAACATAAATCTTACAAGGAAAACATCATAGCGGGGAATCCCAGCCAAGTTTGTCAGGCAGTTAACTTAGTAACTACAAAGTTACAATTTTGACTCTCAGCAGGAGCGGCCTATTGACCTTTTTGATTTAAGCTAGATAGTTATGGACAACCTAGGCTGGTTTATCGTTTACCCAGTGAACAACATCGGGTAGTGTCCAAAAAAAACATTGGAGAAAGCAAAATGGCACATGTTGTATGAAGACACTGACCTCTGCTTCTCCTAAAACCCCAGCTTCCTCAAATGTTTCACGAGAAGCTGCTTCTTCCAAGGACTCATCTTGCTCCCAACCACCCTGCATTCCATTCCAAAGTTGAATGAGCAAACCAGACCACTATTAATTATTCAAAAACTACATACTGTTATATAATTAACTGCCTTCATATATTTACCTTAGGGAACATCAACCTCGGACTTTTCTGTGAGCTAACCAAAAGAAACTCCAAATCATGAACTGAAGGTGAATGGTAATCTTTCTTGTATCTGTATGGTATGCATCTGCACCATATTCATAGAAAGAGACAAAAATCAGAAACTAATTTTATAAATTTCTCCCCAAATTTCAAACCCAAAATCAAGAATTGAACCCACAAAAGAAAAAAAAAAAAAGGGATTTAAGGGATTAAGGGAAGGGAAGAGGTGAACATACCCTACAACTTGGCGACAACCTTGAACATTATACCTCTGCAAGTCCCTCCCAGTCCTTGAAGACATAGAAACCATCCTCTCAATTTGCATAATTTCTCACAACAAACACAAGGAAAAAAAGATTAAATCCCAGAAATGATGTGCAAGGGTTCAAGCCTCTATGTCATGTACCGTATCTAAATCGTGTAAAAATTGAATCTTGAAGGCACAACAGATGTTTTTTTTTTTTTTTTTTTTTTGTTTTGTTTGGTTCTTGGGTAGATGATGATGGGAAAAGCTTGGAATGGCGACTCCTTAAATAGGCAAAGGATTCAGTGTTCTCTGGGAAAGCGCGTGGGGATATTGGAATTGGGAGATAATCTTCTATTCTAGAGGGTCTACATTGTACAAGGGGATTGGGATTAGTGATTAGACCACATACATTCTACATTATACATACCACGCGTTTATGGTGGTGTCCAGGGGATCAAAGTAGTAAGATTCATTTAATTTAGAAAGTTATTAGAGGTTAAACGAGTAACACAACTTCATTATGGGCTTCCATTAGTCTTCCCCCAAAATAAAATTGAATTTCCAACTCGCTATCGATCTCTCGCCCGTATTTAACTTTGGACGGAATTACCAAACTACAATTCGAACGGCGGGACAGTCCGATTTTAAGGCTGGGCTGTTCCCGGTGGGGGCTGACCGACCTCGCAAGAGGTATTGCTCGAGGGCTTTCAAGATGGTGAACTATGCCTGAGCGGGGCGAAGCCAGAGGAAACTCTGGTGGAGACCCGCAGCGATACAGAGCTCTTCAGACTAATGGCCAACAAAACATTTGAGATGATATAAATTGCAGTGACTCAATAACAGCGGTTTCAATAGTTAAGGATGAGAAATTTTCTTTGTATTCGAATTAGAGGAAAAGGGGATGAAAATAGTAAATGAACCTTTTTGCCCTTTAAATTAACAATATTTGGATGAATTTTGTAACAGATGACCAAATCAAATGCGATCTTACCCAGTAGTCAAGGGATCAAAATGGACATTCACGGCTCAAATCATCCACCTCCCACATAAAAGAGCAACCGGGTACTAGTGAACCACATGGTTCTTAATAAACTTAAAACTTTTAATACAACACTTTACAACCTTAACAACCACTTCACTACTAGAACTATAACAGCACGTTTGGTTCACGGAATGAATTTGGAGGGAATATGCATGCTATTTCACAAGGAATGGAATAGGTAAGGAATAGAATATGAATTGTATTTTGTTGTTTGGTTGGCTAAAGGAATAGACTTTAGTAATTGTATTTCAGTGTTTGGTTGGTTAAATGAATAGAAATGGAATAGGTTTTAAAGACATAAATACCCTTATACAAAATAATAATAATAATAATAATAACGAATATGATTATGATAAACTGAATATTATATATATATATATATATATATATATATATATATATATTTATTTATTTATTTATTTATTTATTTATTTATATATACGTATATGCATGTGTGTGTGAGAGAGAGAATAATAATAATAATAATAATAATAATAATAATATATTATTATTATTATTATTATTATTATTATTATTATTATTATTATAATACAAATACATATTTATTTTTCCACTTATCCCACATCGGTTGGAGAAGTAAGGAATGGAGCCTTGACACCATAATTTCAATTGCAATGCTCATCCGCTAGGCAAGCTTGCAAATTGCAATGCCCATCTGCTAGGCATGCAGATAGGCATGCTACTTAATTTAGGAGTCAAGGCTCCATAATTAAGGAGTCTTATACAATTAATTTTTTTTACATATATATATATAATTATTGATGGATAAAAATTATAATTAATTAAATATATACATATATATAATACATTATATTTATTAAATAAATACAAATATTATATAATGTATAAAGGATATTTTTGGTATTTGTGATATAAAAGCTATTCCCAAGGGCATGGGAATAGCTAATACCAAGGCCCCCCTTAGGAATGGCTATTCCCCTTGCGAAGGTAATAGCTCATTCCTAGGCATGTTATTCCCATGACAAAATGATCCAACCAAACGATAGAATAGGTCTATTCCAAGGAATGATATTCCATTCCTGACCTATTCCATGAACCAAACATGTCATAAGTGCAATGAACTCTAACAATAGAATGACACAGTAAAAAACATAGACTCAGACGCTTAAATGATCGTGATCGCTCAAATATGAGAATAAGATATAAAAATTTTAGTGATGACTCAGAAAAAGTATTAGTAAAAATGTAATTAACCCTATTAACCAGGTTACTTACTAGTTAAAATTGATAATTAATTATTTGGCATCTCACGTGGTATTAATCTGAGATGGTTTAAATTTGTAAAATAAATATTATATGAAAAATACTAAAAAATGGAGGTCCATCTAGATAATAGGTTTTCATCTTTAAAAAAAGACAAAGACCTTCATCCCTAATATAGAGGGGGAAAAAATGGAAGCAATCTAATTTTACCTTTAAAATAAAACTTCCTAGTTCCTTCCAACCTATGAGTTCATTTTTAATAGATATTTTCAATTAATGCAAAGTTAAAAATAATTGATATAAAATGATCTATCCAAACAAATTAAAAAAGAAATTATTATTTGCATTTTTATCAAAATGTTGATTAACTAGATCAATTTTAAGTTTAATGTTACAATAACTTAAGTACATTGATATGATATGATATGATATATATATATATATATATATATATATATATATATATATTAAAACTTAAGATAGTATAACTAAATAATTTGAAAATACGAATTGTGATCATGACCTACAACTCCACAGGTGTATTTGTAAACATGATTTCATATATGTTTAACGTAAAATCTAAGAAATCAAAATCAAAATTAATAAAAGATAAACATCAATAATATATTTATTTCAATACAATATTTTGTTTATTAGTAATTGCAGCCTGAGGCTATCCTCATCAGTGCAATTGTGCCTCTTCCAAGCTGATATGGTTTATTTATTAAAAATAGCAAGTCTGCAAAAGGTAGCCTTTTGTCCTTATTTATTTATTTTTGGATATTCTATTATTACTTTATTATTTTTATAATAAAATATGAAAGTGGAATCACTTTTAAAAGTGAAAGAGGGCAAATTATGTTGTGCATACGTGTGCACCATGCATGGTGCACACAGATGCAAAAATAGAGTCGTTTTACGTAAATACAAAAAAATCATTTTCGATTGCAGTTAATTACGTAAAGATATGTTCATAATTTTATAATTTCACATTCTGGTTTTATAGTTATGAAATTATGTGTAGTTATGCAATTCTGGATTTATAGTTATGAAGTTATGGATGTGTAATTATGCATGCAATTTTGAATGTATAGTTATGAAGTTATAATTTCACATTCTGAATGTATAGTTATGAAGTTATGGATGTGTAGTTATGCAATTCTGAATGTATAGTTATGAAGTTATGAATGTGTAGTTATGCAATTCTGAATGTATAGTTATGAAGTTATGGATGTGTAGTTATGCAATTCTGGATTTATAGTTATGAAGTTATGGATGTGTAGTTATGTAATTCTGAATGTATAGTTATGAAGTTATGGATGTGTAGTTATGCAATTATGAATTTATAGTTATGAAGTTATGGATGTGTAGTTATGCAATTCTGGATGTATAGTTATGAAGTTATGGATGTGTAGTTATGTAATTCTGGATTCATAGTTATAAAGTTATAGATGTGTAGTTATGCAATTATGGATGTATAGTTATGAAGTTCTGGATGTGTAGTTATGCAATTCTGATTTTTTTTTTTTTAAGTCGGACGTCAAAACGACAACGTTTTTGCAACCATGTGCACCATGCATGGTGCACACGGTTGCACAGCATAACGCTCCGTGAAAGAGTATTGCAGCTGATGGGATATGGACCTCAGTGGGCTGTAGGCCCAAAAGAGATCAGATACATGGGTTGGGCTTAAGGTTTGGGCTGATAATAAAGTTCGTTGAGTAAAGATAGGAGGCTCCTTTTTCACGAGCAGTGTTAGCCGAGTCAAGGACTCGGCTGAAGGGTGGTCGAGTCCAAGCAGTCGGCACCAATAGAAGTCGGGGTTACCCATGACCGTTGAGCCTTCAAAGCCTTCATTAATAATGAGTCAAGGCAACCGTCTGTTTACAAGCAAGGATAACGGAGAAAACAACGGCTATAAACAGTAACAAAGTATTCATTAACCTTAAATTGGATACTATAATTCCTTCTAGAGTTATGGCCTCTTGGACCTTATAAATTGGCCCTCAAGAAGCATTATAAGGGAATTCGAAGAAACTATACACAAAGAACTCACTCTCTCGATGTGCACTCTCTACATTTTTATACAAATTCTTCATTCTTTCTACTTTATTTTTCGGTGAATCCACTAATCTTCCGGTTGTGTTGGACCACCGTTGGCTTCCTAAAAGTTCTAAAACCAACCGCAGCAGCGATGTAGGAAAAATAGTAAAGAATTTATAAATTTGATAATGTGAAAGTGAGATCCACTTTTAAAAATAAGAGAATAAGAATAACTTAAGTATAATCACTCATAAGAGCGTAGAACCAGAACAAAGCACCGAGTCACGAATATGAAAAGGGTGAGTCGGAGTGGGTTAGACATACGTGTAGAGTCCGCAGAAACGGAGTGCACTCGGTTTAGGCAATTGGAGGTTCAAACTCGAATACGTACGAGTCACTGCCACTCACCCTTGACTCGTTCGTTCACTCGGTTCATCCAGTGATCCAGCCACCTTAAACGCGCTTTATTAATAATCCCACCACGATTTATTTGCCCAAATAGGCCATAGCTTAACCCGTCGTGGACCCCACTCTTTCCATGTTTTCTTCTGATGTCAATGTGCGTGCGTCCCTTTCACTTTCCTTGTCATTTCCCTAATACTCTCTTTTTTATTTTATTTATTTTTTGTGGAATTTTGGCAAGCAAGTTGAAACCTTTACGTACGATTTTAACATCACTTGGAAGTTGGAATTGCCATCTCATCTCTTATCAGGATCAAGTATAGTAATCTTGATGTCGGTATGAACTTAGCTCAATAGTTTAGTAGACAGTATTTAGGAGAAGAGATTAATGTTCG